ACTTGGCATTTCTCCTGAGGGTTGCATTTGATGTTGCCGCAGTAGGCGCTAGAGCTGGAACTCGCTGTAATTGAAAAATTAATACAAAAAAGTATNAAAAATATTCTATAAAAACAAAAAAAAAACATTTCGCCCGTGCGAATTTCGTGTAAATATTTTTTTTTTCAATTGAATTTATAAAATATGTTTTTTTGCTAAATATTCTAAAAGATCTTTCGTAAAAACAAAAAACGGGCTCTTTCACAATGTACGAAATTCAGTTAAAGTTGTTTTTTAGTTTCAATTTATAGATTGTTTTTTTTGTAAAAGTATTCGTTTTGAGTTATTTATTTATTTTTAACTTCGATTAAACAATTTTAGTATCTTTAATTGAAAAACCAAATAACTATGCGTGCGTTTGAATTAAAATTTTTTGAATGATACATTGTAAATGCGCTGTGCCTCGCCTCGCAGCTTTAAACGATTTGTAAGGATTTTTTTTAATTGCGTATTTTTTTTTTGCTATCAGTAACACCTTTTTCAACTTGTGAGAAGTATTTTTATTAATCTACATATAATTTATTGAAAATTTATTTTTGTTTTGTATTTAAGTCATATATTTTCGTGATTGTTACGAAAGTATTACACAAATTTTGTGAAAAATAATTTTAATATTTTTTTTTTTGTTTTAAGTTTTTTATTTACTACTTATTCATAAAACATATTAATAAATATGCAAAAAATAGTTAAAATAAAATTTAAAAAAATATCCGTTCAAAAAATTATATTATGTTATCCTTTTTTATTTTTGTTTAATTTATTAATTTTTAGTTGCAGCTGTTTATTAGAAATTATCGCGTTTTCGATGAAAAAAAGTGTAATTAATTTATAAAAAAGTATTCAATTTCGCGGATAAATAACTTTAATCAATTTTTTATTTAAACAATATTTTAATAAAATTCTTGATTTTTAATGTTAAATTTATAAAATTATTTTATTTTGATGATTTATAATAAAATTAATCGCCAAAAAAGATTAGATGTTATGAAAATGTTAATGTAAAATTTTGTTTGTGACATTTGTTAATTTTATTAAACTTTTAATTTTCAAAGAGAAAAGTCAACACAAAAGTTTCCAATTTAGAAAAAAAAATAATTTTTATATCATTTTCGATAAAAATTAATAGCAACTCTTTTGCGAAATATTGAAGTTTGTGAATTTTTTTATGAGATCTTTGTACATATGTAGACCAAATAATAATTAGAGATACAATAATGATCAGTTTTTTGAAATTTTACGCTTAGAAATAATTTTTATTTATTTGATATTATTTTGCTTGATTTCCGAAAAATTCAAAATACATAGTATGTATGTATTTTACTTAGCGAAAAATTTATTCCTAAACTTTTTTCTTAAATACAATTTCAGTTTTATTATTAATCGTTTGCAAAAGAGTCATAAATAGATTCATACCAAAATTGCTATCTTCTCTAAGTTGAAATCTTTCAACAAAAAAAGTTCTCTACTGCACTTGAGTTTTGTAGACAAACTAATGATAAAACATAATTTTTTTTACGAAAGTTCAGCTATACTCACAATATTTATCGCCACCAGAAGATGAACTGCCCAAATCCAATTGATTCCGTTGTATGCAAGAACGCTCATTGCACAAATTCGGGCAACACTTGCCACCAATGGCACTGCAATCGGTGTCTTGTTTGCATTTGGGCGTGCAGGTCAGCACCTTTGTTGAGGAGGGGCAACCTACTAAGCAAAAAAACAGGGCAACAAATAAATAGAAGAGAAAACAAAAACACAGAAACACGACACAAAAGTCAAGGGAGTTTCCTTATTAGTTAAAGCTTAAAGGAAATTTATAAAAAATAGGCGATAAAT